GCTCTTAATTGTAATTGATCTGCAGTTGATTTCAAGGCGGCGTGTGCGGTCGATGCAAAAACACAGATTCCGGTGTTAACCGCAATTTATCCGGTTTCTTATAGCGGTCTGGACTGTACCGGTGGTAGCCGTCTGGCCATTTCATGTTCTGGCGTTCTACAACGCGCCGCGATTTCGTTTTTCTCCTAGCGCGTCAACAAATTTCATCGACATACCGATCAGATACTTGCGACGACTTTTCGAAACGTAGTACGTGAGAAAATTTCTCAAAAAAAGGGGATACTTTTTCTCTCGATTGCTTTAAACTAGGAGGCTTACGTGATATAGATTCGTTTTTAATACTATTACGTCTCTCTCTTCCTCTTTTTCTTGACGCTTTATGATTTACTAGCTTTGCTTTGCTTTGCTTTGCTTTTTAATTGATCACCGATAGACGCTAATTTAGATTTGCCAATTTTTGTGCCTATAAAATATGTTTACTACCTTTTTCAAAATTAGTTACTTTACAAAAAAATGTGATTCATTAATATATAAATAATGCATTATAAAGTGAGGTACTTTTGATCAAAATCATATAAAAAAACTGTATATTAGTTTTGAGAAATTATTTAAATTAAACATGAAATAAAACTGTTTTTATTTTATCGCGAATCATATAAACGAATTTTTGCGTGTATTATGCAATTTTGATAAAATTCCCACACGCTTCCTGTATCGATATTAAAAGGGATAATATCGCTAACGTACAACATTGGCATGTTTTTTTCTACATATATAACTTTAACTGTCGACATTGCGATATTTCTCACCGTGTTGCTTTTTTTTCCGCCGAACATCGGCGTCGAAAAAGGGCTTGGGTACGGCACAGATAGAATTCTTATCCCTAAAAGCGACGACGCTGGTTGGCCGTGGGTCCCCCTCGCTCGCATTACGTCCCTTCCGTTTCACGGTTAGAGGGGGGGGGGGGCAGGGGGATCGTCGGGGCAGGAAATGAAGGGAGTAGTCTGGGGTGATAGGAAAATTTGATGGAGGGTGGCAGAGTGACGGGAGGAACGGGAAAGGGGGAGGGGGAGAGGAGCGGAGGGCTATCAATGACGCGTTAGAGCACGTCACGCTGCGCAATGCATCTGCCGCCATATGCCGTCATATATATTATCTTGGCGATACGTCAATTCGGCCACTGATCATTATACTGATTACCGCGAGCACGCAAACTATGTACTCCGCATGTGTGACTGTTCTCATGATTCTGTCATTAATAAATACGATTTACTTTCTTGATATCGAAGCATCGGTAACACTTCGGAATCACTTACATTCGGATAGCATGTTGATTCGTCGTTTAAATCGTAAAAAGATGTCTCCAGCTTTCTTGAAGAAAGACGTTATTTCGAGAGACTCAATAAATATAAATGATACCTAATAAATATGTGGAAAAAGATAACGTTATAAAAAAACAAAGAATAGAAAGAAACACGCGAGAGATGTTAAAAGAAACAGCTCACAGACCAGCCTAACAATAAGTCTCATAAACTTTTATATTATATACGAGGCCTTTTTGGATAGCTAAGAAAGAAGGAAGACGAGGGGACGAGGCCGATAGCCTAACGGTGATGTAACAGACAATGCTCTCATGAAATTTCTTAAATTTTGTTCTGCCAGTCCACAATGACGCAAACTTTCTCTGATTTTTCTTATACAATCTGGCATACAAAAGACAATGTTAATACGAGAACAACGAACTTTTCTCGATCCTTCTATCTCGCCTTTCTTCCTGTTTCACACTTCCGTATTGTTCCAAGGTCGATAGAAACGAGCGCAGATTTTGCGGAAGGTCGCTTTATTAATTATCGGACAAGGCAAAAGATATCGTTACTTGAATAATTTCATTCTATATCTATATTTGATTATTTTTTTTTAACAATTTTAAGTTGTTAAATAATTCTTAAAGAGTAAGAAAATGAGAGAAAAATTTAAAAGCTTAAAGCTAAAGAAACGATTTACTATAGTCAAAAACTATTTTCAACCTTCTGAAACAAATATTTGATATAGTTGCCATTCTCTCTCTTTCTCGTGATTCAAAAACCGCCTGGTTATAGCAGGTTTGCGGGGTCCAAAGTACATTTTTATTCTGGGATAGAGCGAGGCGTATAACGCAAGCCAACGTCCCTTGTTATTTCTCCTATTTTCCGTTGCGATAAATCACGAATGCCGACGGACGGACTAAGGAAGTAGGGCCAACGGAGGGGGATCTCGTTGCCGGACGCAAAACCAAAACCATAGCGGCGGAAGATGTCAACATTCCAGACAATTTATAGAAGGCAACGTTTTGCAAACCGAAAAAAAAAATTTGTTTTCACCTTTTTTAATATTATCGGATATTTCGATTCGCGTTACGGATATAAGTTTTAAAGAAAAAAAATTATATCGAGTAGTAGATTTTTTATAAAAGCGAAGATGTGTTCTAATGCGTGTAAGAATCGGTTTCTTAAGCAGATTCTCTGATCGTCGCGGGGGGGGCAAACAACTGCGCGAACAATTGGGTGATCGATTTCGTTGTAAAACGCGTTGGTCGTAGTGCAATTAGCGCGCCATACATCATGCGGATAACAAGGCATGGCGCCCCGAAGGCGTCGCACGCCTCTTGGACGAGCGGTAAAAAAAAAGGGAGAAGAGACAACGCGAACAACACAAAAGAGGGGAGGACAGCATACGGGGGCGAGGCGGTAGCGACGTGCCGCTCACCGTCTCTTCACGAACGACGCTTCTCAAGAACAACTCCCAACTTTTTCTCGGGGGCTAAGACGCCGAAAGGATGAACTCTCTTTTCTCTCTCTCGTATCCACGTTACTTCCAAATCGCTCCGTCTCCTTCCTTGATTTCTCTACTCCACTTCCTACTTCTCTCGGACGCGTCGTTGTTGCCAGAAAACCTGCATGCCATTCATCTTGAGACATTGGACGAAAATAACACGAATTTAAGAAGCTCACGCTCGTAAACAATAAAGGAAACGCGCGCCGCTGGTTATGTAATAGCGCCGTCCGAAGTGAAAAAACTCTTGTTTATGTTATGTCTCTCGGGTGTTTATTCCGGAGGAAAGCTCACTCAGTTATCGAACTTGATTATTAGTGTTGTTCTCTCGGCGCTGTATAAATAAAAATATCGACTCTGTCATTATTTTCTTACTAGCATATTCTTAATCGATTTCATAGGAAAGCAAACTGAAAAACATCATGTGACTCATCAAAACGCTATTCTATTTCCGAAGTGTCATTTTTATCATTATCTTTTTGCAAAATTGAAATTTATAAATTAATGTATAAATCGTCTATATATAAATTAACGATTAATAAATTCATGACATTAAATGTTTTATCATTTGATATTTGTAATTCAGATCGAACTGCATTTATGAACAAGTTCGAACTGTCTTCTGAGTCGCATATTATTTATGAAAAATATATAGATAAGAGAAAAGAAATCTGTGTGTGTGAGAAAATCATATATCAATAGATTGAA